GTGTATAAGAAGGTACCTCACAGCTACACCAGAGGAGCAAGGAGAGAGAGGAGACAGTGACCCAAAAGGCTGACAAAGACTTGGCCACACCCATCCCATCATGGCCCAGAGCAGAGCTGCTCTCCTAGGCAATTACTGGGAAGATGAAATTAGCCATCACTCCAATCCTCCAAAGTAAGAACAGTCAAGGGAGGAAGGGAGAAAGCGATTAGGGAAGACAGGAGCCCTCCAATTTGCATCCTCCCTCCAAGCGGATGTCAAGACATCAAGAGCATAGAATTCTAACCAACTCCCTCAACCCTTGCTCCAGGTTCACTGGGATCTGAAGTTTTAGTGTGTATGTGCACGCCTGTGCCCACACACATCTAACATTGCTGTTTGTAGGAGCCACCGTGGCTCACAACAGGGATGGGAATGCCTTGGTCTCACATCACGAGCGTGGCTCCTGCACAAGGAGAGGCTCATTCGTGCCCTTCGTGCCCACGTGGTAGCGCACAGGGAGCTGGAACCTGTGTGCTCCTGACAAGGCAGCTTGTGTAGTTGTGGGGAGAACGCAACGGCCAAAACCACAAAGCCAACTTCTGTTCAACAAGACTGATATTATTCATCCTATGAAAGACCAAAGAATAAGAAAATGTACTAAGCCACACCTTGAGAAGTCATGACTGAACAGCATGCCACAGCTTGAGGGAAGCATGACAAAAGAAACCCTGAATCATGTGTGCTAATCTAAATCGCCCCACCTCAGGGCTGAGCACTTTCCGTATTCCCCCAGCAGTGATCTCTTAAAATCCTACTTTCTCTAATAAAACCTTTCGAACAAAAACCTCATAAACCATACACTTAAATAAACATATATGCATTCCTAAGCTTACCTCTTGCTGTGTATGTGTCAATGTATTTGTCTCTACCACTCTTTCCATTTTTAATTTGAAGTCCTGGAAGACAGAGACCATGATTCTCCTGGAATCTAATCATAAGCCTCACGAGGTTGCAGTAAGTCCTACTTACTGCTGACGCTAACTAACTTTGAAGAAGAATTCATGGAAGGCCATGCTTTAAAATGGGAGCCTTTCAGAAAGAGTCACAATACATCTTAAGATCAGTACACACATATTCAATATTAACATGGACAGAAAGCCCCCAAAGCATCACTAAAACCAACCTGGCTGACTATAACCAGGAAAAAAAAAAAGCAGCGGGGGGACACAGACAGACAGACAAACACACACACACACACACACACACACACACACACACACACACACACACTCTGCCAGAAGTCTCTTGAGATAGTGATTAAAAACCATACCCACCGCCTTAAGTTCATGTTTAGAGAAATCCTAGACTGCCATCAACACGTACAGGAGCCCAATACACACCCAGAGCATCATTTCCCACAATCTTCATTTCAAGCATCACTTCTTATTATATGTGGGAATTTGGTTTTTCTTTGCCTTTAAACAAAAGCAGCACCTCATTGTAAAACTATTTCAAACTTGCCAAGACACTGAAGTTGTAGGATCTCTTTTCCAGGGCAGAGTCCTGTACTAGGATCAGTGGGTTCACCATGTACTCAGGTCCCCAATGTTTTCGTCCTTCAAGGTTGCACTTCTAAAGGTGAGACAAACACCGCAGTACCAGCAATCTCCTGGGGGCCGGGGAAACTGACCACAATGAAAAGCAGATGCAGTGCTCCTGGAGAGCAAAGATGGCACCCAGCAGACACTCAGTCTATAGACAATCAAACTACACGTGCATAGTCAAAGAACAGTGAAGACCTCGTACTATATGAACAACGAAATATCTGTAAAAATGTAAAACTTACGATCCGTATTCAAATCTTCATTATTATACTAAAATTATAAGGAAATAGATATCCAGAGGGCAATCAGCCCTTTAATGCAGGCAGAAATGCAGGTTTTCTGACAACGTGGAGCATAGTTCTATTTTCTAAAAGCCTAGGTAGTAAGTAGTCAAGGGACAGGGTCTTAGGAAGAAAAGAAAGGTGGGTGTCACCTGACACTTCGGGGCTCCGGGCTAGGCCCCGCCATCACAGCGGATCCTTCTAAGACCTCCCGAGACACAGAACTGTCTACAGGAGCCACAGACCACTTTTCTTTGCTGGGCTCAGCCTTGCCCTTTGAGGAAAAGCAGCCACGAGTAAAAAGGCATCTACTTCCCAAAGTTACGTGTTGACACTAAGGAGGGAAAGAAAAGGAACAACAGTGTTTCCTTTGCTGAATTTTGGGTAGCAAACCACTTTTTTTTTTTTAACATCTTTATTGGAGTATAATTGCTTTACAATGGTGTGTTAGTTTCTGCTGTATAACAAAGTGAATCAGCTATACATATACATATATCCGCATATCCCCTCCCTCTTGCGTCTCCCTCCCACCCTCCCTATCCCACCCCTCTAGGTGGACACAAAGCACCGAGCTGATCTCCCTGTGCTATGCGGCTGCTTCCCACTAGCTATCTATTTTACATCTGGTGGTATATATAAGTCCATGCCACTCTCTCACTTTGTCCCAGCTTATCCTTCCCCCTCCCCGTGTCCTCAAGTCCATTCTCTACGTCTGTATCTTTATCCTGCCCCTAAGTTCTTCAGAGTTCTTCAGAACCATTTAGAAAATCACTTTTATATAGAGCCCCTCACGTTACAGGTAGAGATATGGGAGAGCATAAGGACAGAGTGACATATCCATGTCTCACCACAAGTCGGTGACCAAGACAGGATTGAACCCCTGGCTCCAGACCCATGTTCCTTCCTCGATGCCACACTGACCCTAAGGGCTCAATACACACACTTTAATACACAAAAATCCCAGAATACGTGTGAACCTGTCGATTATAAAAGTCGATAACCCCAAGTACTGACCTTATTTCCAATGGGTGTCACTGGGCTTAGTTTATGCCAATGTCACCTCTTCCAACACAAATTAATATTTAAGGAGTAGAGCCACACAGAATGTATTATAAGCCTGGGAAAAAGACAGACCCTCGAGGCTCCTCCAAAAACCAATGTTTCGTTCAAACATGATAATTTCTGAAGCAACTTATTCTGTCCCAATTCCTAAACAGCTGGTTGAAGAACAAAATAATAAAACCTATTTATTAGGTATTGGTCACTTAATGCAACTGAAAACCAAAGCATAAGATCCAGTTAGCTTAGGACCTGCACACAGGGCCCCCTTATACAGTAGAAATGTAACTCTAAGTTTCCCACGGTTTGTGAAAGCAAAGGTGGACTCACAGAGCCTTTTGTGAATGTGGGACTTGAAGAGAACTGTCTGAACTTGGAGGAAGATTAGCCGTTCAAAAGTTTATTTGGGGCTTCTTAATTGGCTTATTCTCCTTCTTTGAAGCAAAAAGTCGTAAATTTATCCCTCTTGAACTCAAAAGAGATCATGGTACTTCAGTGCCTGACCTTGGTTGACAAGCTGAGGTGTCTTCTCAGCTGGCTGCCATAAGACCCACAACTGAAAAGTCAAGTTTCCAAATGCTCCTTGCTCTTGGTGAACAAATCGACTAGAAAGTCGTGGAGATCAAACGCGACTGGCATTAAACTCCAACCCAAACTCCCAAATCAGGTAAGTACAGCTACAATAGTGTAATGTATTGTTCATCACTGAAACAACAGTCTCCTCCACAAAAGCAAAAGTATCTGAGTAGAAAATTTAATTTCAATTTAATGAAAAGATTCTCCTTTAAAACATGATTAACAACTTCGCCAATAAGAAAGTACGTTTGGAAACATATGTCAGATTTGTTCCCCAAAGGCATCCATCTCCTCTGTAGTGAGATGGTTCTATTGTGTAATATCACATCAATCCAGCCACTGAGATACAAATCAGATGTTAAAATAAAACAAGTTAGTCATGAGCATCTGAGAGAATGAAAAGTACAAGAGAATTGGAAGTTTTCCCAGCAAGAGTTTTCCTAAGGAAAAAACACCAAAATACAATACTTTGACAGAAATTCATGTTACTGTAACCACTTTCAGAATCACATGGTCCATTATGATGAGACATGCCTCTACTAGGCATGGCTCAGACTCAGGGAGACCCACTGTTCCCAGCAGAGTGGAAACAGCTGTAACATGACCCAACATCTGCATCCTTATCATTAGGGCTCAGAACTCACCAAACTTATTCTCCTCCTAAAAGCTAATCAGAAAATGACTCTTTCCAAGCTCTCTCTTCACAGTGTTTCCCACCCCCCATTATTTGCAATTCTGGGATTTCCTGTTAAAGCTAGTACAGACTTTCATCTACAATTTTCAAGAACAGGCAGAAAATTACAAATCTCCAATCTTCTCCCCTATACTGGAGAGGGCTCTCTGGAAGGATAAAGTCAGAAGAAGGGAGAACTAGGAAGCCCAGCGGGTTCAAACTCACACAGAACCACTTTCAATACAGAGCCTTTATTTCCACCGCTTGTTAACGCTGTTTAGATCCTATGCTGAAACCTACTGCTGTCCAGACTTGAAATCTGCATTGTTTGCGGACATTTTCTTGAGCCCTCATCCCATTTACCATTCAAAACCAAAAACAAAGCAAAACCGAAAAGTCTCAGTCCTCATGACCTCACACACAAAAAAGATTCCCTTATAATCTTATCAATTTCTGCCCATTTAAAAACATAACTGTTTCTAAAATTGCACTTTTGGGAAAAACTTTTATGAAAAGTGGACGATTATGAACCAAATCATAAAATTCCTGTGCCTGTCCATGCTCACAGCATCATTATAAGAATCTTTTTCATCCGCAGAGAGCACACCCAGAACAGAATTTGCCATTCTGTTTAATGATTCTCTGTCAGAGAAAAACTGATGTGGTTAGTACAGCGTGTGGAACTTAAGCTCAATTACATCCAAGTCTAATGTTCCTAGAAATCACACAATGCTTAGTGACTATCAATCTCCAAAATCAATCTATTACTGACTAAACAGAGATTACCGGAGGGTGTCTCACAGGATGGAAAGTCAGATGACTTACCTTGTGCAAAGGGAGTACAAGGAACGCTCCTCCCCCACTCGCTTCTATGATTATGGCAACGAATCTGGGATTGACAGCACAAAAGGAACTATCCCAGGTCACTCGAGAAACCCGGATATCATCGTAACACTGGTCATTTTTCACCGCCTGTCCAAATACATGGCGAAACTTGCTCTGTCGTACCACTCGCCTCATCGTGTCTGTGGGAGAACAAAAAGTATATTAAAATCATGCCCCTGAGTGAAAGCTTTACTTTTACAAATGAAAAGCTGAAAAATAACAGAATGGTATGGCATTTTGTCTGCTCTTCTAATATGTAGCCAAATGGCAAATCCAAATTTCCTTTAGCAGCACGTAGCCAGAGAAAACTGCAAAATGTGTCAGGGCAAGAATGACAAAGAAATGAAAAATTCCTAACTCAAGATCCAGAAACAGCTCAACAGTTTTAATTTCAAGAGAAAGATCAAGGTAACGAATGAAGGGAAGTAGCAGGATACAAAATTAATGCACAGAAATCTCTGGCATTCCTATACACTAATGATGAAAAATCTGAAAGTGAAATCAAGAAAACACTCCCATTTACCATTGCAACAAAAAGAATGAAATATCTAGGAATAAACCTACCTAAGGAGACAAAAGACCTGTATGCAGAAAATTATAAGACACTGATGAAAGAAATTAAAGATGATACAAATAGATGGAGAGATATACCATGTTCTTGGATTGGAAGAATCAACATTGTGAAAATGATTGTACTACCCAAAGCAATCTACAGATTCAATGCAGTCCCTATCAAACTACCACTGGCATTTTTCACAGAACTAGAACAAAAAAATTTCACAATTTGTATGGAAACACAAAAGACCCCGAATAGCCAATGCAATCTTGAGAACGAAAAATGGAGCTGGAGGAATCAGGCTCCCTGACTTCAGACTATACTACAAAGCTACAGTAATCAAGACGGTATGGTACTGGCACAAAAACAGAAAGATAGATCAATGGAACAGGATAGAAAGCCCAGAGATAAACCCACGCACATATGGTCACCTTATCTTTGATAAAGGAGGTAGGAATGTACAGTGGAGAAAGGACAGCCTCTTCAATAAGTGGTGCTGGGAAAATTGGACAGGTACATGTAAAAGTATGAGATTAGATCACTCCCTAACACCATACACAAAAATAAGCTCAAAATGGATTAAAGACCCAAATGTAAGGCCAGAAACTATCAAACTCTTAGAGGAAAACATAGGCAGAACACTCTATGGCATAAATCACAGCAAGATCCTTTTTGACCCACCTCCTAGAGAAATGGAAATAAAAACAAAAATAAACAAATGGGACCTAATGAAACTTCAAAGCTTTTGCACAGCAAAGGAAACCATAAACACCACCAAAAGACAACCCTCAGAATGGGAGAAAATATTTGCAAATGAATCAACTGACAAAGGATTAATCTCCAAAATTTATAAGCAGCTCATGCAGCTCAATAACAAAAAAACAAACAACCCAATCCAAAAATGGGCAGAAGACCTAAATAGACATTTCTCCAAAGAAGATATACAGACTGCCAACAAACACATGAAAGAATGCTCAACATCATTAATCATTAGAGAAATGCAAATCAAAACTACAATGAGATATCATCTCACACCAGTCAGAATGGCCAGCATCAAAAAATCTACAAACAATAAATGCTGGAGAGGGTGTGGAGAAAAGGGAACACTCCTGCACTGCTGGTGGGAATGTGAATTGGTACAGCTACTATGGAGAACAGTATGGAGGTTCCTTAAAAAACTACAAATAGAACTACCACATGACCCAGCAATCCCACTACTGGGCATATACCCTGAGAAAAACATAATTCAAAAAGAGTCACGGGGCTTCCCTGGTGGCGCAGTGGTTAAAAGTCCGCCTGCCGATGCAGGGGACACGGGTTCATGCCCCGGTCTGGGAAGATCCCACATGCCGCGGAGCGGCTGGGCCCGTGAGCCATGGCCGCTGAGCCTGCGCGTCCGGAGCCTGTGCTCCGCAACGGGAGAGGCCACAACAGTGAGAGGCCCGCGTACCGCAAAAAAAAAAAAAGAGTCACGTACCAAAATGTTCACTGAAGCTCTATTTACGATAGCCCGGAGATGGAGACAACCTAAGTGCCCATCATCGGATGAATGGATAAAGAAGATGTGGCACATATATACAAGGGAATATTACTCAGCCATAAAAAGAAACGAAATTGAGCTATTTGTAATGAGGTGGATGGACCTAGAGTCTGTCATACAGAGTGAAGTAAGTCAGAAGGAGAAAGACAAATACCGTATGCTAACACATATATATGGAATTTAAGGAAAAAAATGTCATGAAGAACCTAGGGGTAAGACAGGAATAAGGACACAGACCTACTGGAGAATGGACTTGAGGATATGGGGAGGGGGAGGGGTGAGCTGTGACAAAGCGAGGGAGAGGCATGGACATATATACACTGCCAAGCGTGGGGTAGATAGCTAGTGGGAAGCAGCCGCATAGCACAGGGATATCAGCTCGGTGCTTTGTGACCGCGTGGAGGGGTGGGATGGGGAGGGTGGGAGGGAGGGAGATGCAAGAGGGAAGAGATATGGGAACATATGTATATGTATAACTGATTCACTTTGTTATAAAGCAGAAACTAACACACCATTGTAAAGCAATTATACTCCAATAAAGATGTAAAAAAAAAAAAAGAATGAAGGGAAATTAGCCTTTCAGAGTTGGGTGGGAATGGAAAGACAATCCACTCTAACCCGCCCTCCCCTTTTACAGATAAGGAAACTCCAAAGTGAAGTTATCTGACAGATCTGAAACTGAGGAATCCTTCCTCCCCCAAATTATGATATTGTGGCTTTTCCCTCAGTCTGCCAAGGCAATTTTTCCATTTTTCAGCTTTTTCTCCAGACATCAGCACTCTGGTCTGAGAGCGGAGACTGCTCACGAGCGTTTCCACAAGACCAACTACATGCAGTGGAGAATTCAGCACAAGCAAACCACCCTTGCCTTCAAGAGGCTTCCAACACAGGCAGGACAATCAGAGCAACTCGGAACCAAACTCCTGGTGCTGACTGCTACCAGGAGTCTGACTGCTACCATGGGACAAAAGCCAGGTCTTGGAAAAGAGTAGCAAAAATTTTAATGGAAAGTAGAGACGAGGATGACAAGTGGTCTGACGCTAGCACACTGGACCTCTTAAGACAGCAAGAAGCGAAAAGCAAGGGGATGGGCTAAGAGGCTGTGATGGTGAACCGGGCCTGAGAAAGGCCTGTACTGATCCCGGCAGCGGCAGTGAGACAGAGGAACAGAAAAACTCAGGGAGCGTAACGGAAACCAGGATGTCAGAGCTGATCACTCACCACAGCCACTTCCCAAGTAAACCAGAGGGCCTAGGGGACAGGAAGTGACACCAAGCTGGTATTCCCAGGCTTCCTCATGGGTCATTTCGGACCCCAACTTCCACTGGGCTGTCCAACTGACATGTGCACTGACAGCGCTCAGGCTTTAGGATCAGCAGCCCCACCTGCCTGAGGTCTCCTGGGCTGCACCACAGCGTCCTTTTCCCGTCTGCTAATGCCAGGGCATTCTGTTCACGCAGGCTAGGGAGGAAGGAGCCACGAGAAAACACGAGTGGAGATGGAACACAGTCAAACCTTCACAGCTCAGCTGAAAACAAGTGCGCCTGATCCCCAAGGACAGGAGGGCTAACTAACACCTGTCCACTCATGCCAAACGGGACACATGTGGGGCTGCTGCTAATTCCTCCCCTTGAATTCCCTTCCTTGTGGCTCTGGGCCCACTGCTAAGCACAAAAGGAGAGAAGTTAGTTTTGCCAGTCTCCTTCTACCCTTTCAAGGCATGTGCAGAAGCGGCCTCTCTCCAAGCCTAGGGCGTGTGGCTGGGCTGAGGTGACAAAGCCTTGGCAGGCTGGTGAGCAGCCGTGTTCCTCAGCCCAGCTGCTGCCAGACCTTCCCAGCTGACCACCAGGACCAGAGGCTGAGAGCACCTGGTGGAGGAGACGGCAAATGACTTGCTTCCGCTTGGCCGGGGTCCTCCATGTGTGAAACAGTATGAATACTTCTCAAACTGGAGGAGATAAGACAGCTTCCATGAGGTGGTGAAAACCAAAAGAAAAGCACATCCACACAAAAGCCAATGTACAGCCAGCTGGTCTCAGGATCCATTTCCCTACCCGACCATCTGCACAAGTGAGCAGAAGCCGGAATCCCTGCCATTACCTTCCAGCAAGTGTTTCAAAAGTAAAGTTAACAAAGAAGAAGGGGGAATTACACCATATACCAAAGAGTTGATATCCTTCATATATAAAGTTTTTATAGATTCCAAACATGAAAATCCCAGTAGGAAATTACACAAAGTACATGAAGAGGTAATTTACAAAAGAAACACAAATGGCATTTTACCTCCACTCCTTCCTGAAATCCTAACAAAATGACAGGAAAGGAATAAAAGCTGGTATAAACACCAAAGGAAAAGCGAAAGGACACTGGAAAGGAGCCTACAAGAGAGCAAATGTGACCACAAAACCGTGGAAGAGGAAAGCTGTCAGGCAAGTGTAACTGACAGAAGTGAGTGTTCTCCACTCAGCTGCGGTCTCAGGAGGAGCGGCTCACAGAAGGACACCAGGCCCACTGTGAAACCGCCTAGCACTCAGAAGGGAAACAGACGTGGGAGAGGGGCTGCAGGGAAAACTGACCAAAAACCTAATTAGGAGCAGCTAGACACCCAGCTCTGCTCCTGAGTGCTGCACCATCAGGGGCCACCCCTCACCCGTCCCAGAAGCCACAGGGCAGGCCCTGGACAGAACACCACCAGCACAGGTGAGCACGGGTACCAGCAGGTACCACACAGACGACCTGGTCCTGTACAGGGGAGCCTCCAGCCCTGTGTTCTGGAAGCTCCCAGAAGGCTGGCTGCCTGGCTGAGATAGCACCCGCCCTGCCCCACAGGAAGTCAGCCCTCACCACCCTCTGTGAGGTCCACCACCCACCCAGCCCCCCTACCCACACAGGCACTGGGGTCAGTTTTTTGGGGCCCACTAATCAATGTGAACGGACATTTGAAGAAGCCCTTCAACCTGAAAAATGGAGACAATCTTTCCTCTTCACTCAAATAGGCCAAGATACCATCTAATCTCACCAACAATATGAATATTAACATAAAT